ATTCACACAGGCTCTGTGACATTTTGTCTCTGCTCCCCAATGCTGGGGCCTCCCATGGGAAGACTTGAAGGCTGGGAGAGATTTGGTGCCTGGGAGAGACTCAATCACTGTGTAACCGAACACTGACTTCTTACAGAGTCCAGTTAACAAGGGTGAGGTCTGGTAGAGAGATAGAACTTATTAACAAAAACTAGTGAAGGGAAAGCAATCAGATTCCTTTCCAAATTAACAGCTTCTATTTTTAGGGAGAAGGCAGGGGTTTAACAGAAAACTTGATAAGGAAGGCATGCAAGAATTGGGCTGAGTACAGTGTCTGTGTGTCTCGTTCTGGTGGCTATCTTGGGTCCTGGTCCACCTGGACCCTGGGCTTATGTTATTTCAACAATGGCCAGGTAGTTAACTGGCTGCCTTGCAGTAATCTCTGGAACTTTGCAGCTGGGTCTCCAGACTTGGTCTGTGTGTCTCAGGATTAACCCCGGAACCTCTAAGACACATAATTAGATACTAGTAGACAGATAAATGTGAAGGCAGTATGTATGATGAGAAAAGGAGCCATGGAGTTAGTAAAAGGCTTCTGCAGTTTGCTTCAAGGTTGTATCTTTAAACCAAAGGAAAAAGGGAATTTTTCTTTTAATGCAGTTTGAAGCTAAGCTGCCTGGTTACAACTGGATACTGGAATCATCTGGAGGAATCTTCACTCACCTATCTGGTAGGCGACGCTGGGACTTCATCTAGACTGTTGGCCAAACACCTCTCCATGTGGTCTTTGCTTCCTCACAGCAAAATGCCAGGGTCCCAAGAACGACCATCCCAAGAGGACAAGACAGAACCACATCATCTTTTGTGATTTGCTCTTTGAAGTCACATGATATCACTTCCTGTAGGGCTGATGGCCCACAGGGTTGTGGGATGTTCCTTATGCTGTGCTGAGGCGCAGGATCTGAAAAATAAAGAGACAGGACACAGAAGTACAAGGAAAATGCAGCTGGGCTCGAGGGGCCACGCCACCTATGAGCGGAGTCAGGCAAGGCCCTGAATGTCCAGAAGCGTGAGTATTTATTGTGTACAGGTTAGGGGGGCAGGGCAGTGAGTGAAGTCATTTTTAAGGGTAGTGATAGGGTCGTGAGCAATATAACAAGGGGTCCACCGCCATTAGGTCGCCTAGGCTGGGAGGTGGACAGTGCGAGCAAGGGGTCCATTCCCATTAGGTCATCGAGGCAAGGGCTGTGTACAGTAAGGGGTCCACCCCCATTAGGTCACCAAGGCATGGAGGTGGGCCATGCTCAGTGAAGAGGGTGCAGTGTGCAAACTACTAAGAAGATTTATAGGAGGATGCTTTAAGTCACATAGCAGTGACAGAGCTGTCAGGGTCTACGCCACCTGCTGGCAGCTTCCAATGAGTTCTATAGGGGAATGCTTTTCGAGCAGCACAGTAGCAAGAGCTGATAAAGTTCAAGAGCTGATAAAGTTCACAGTCCCCAAGGTGGATTGCGGGTCTGAGGGCAGCGATCCACAAGAACTGGAGCAAGGTCCTACAACTCCTTTATCAGGAGGAGTGGCTCTCGCCCCAAGCCTGCCGTACAGCAGGTGTCTTTACAATACTGAACGCTGCTGCCTGGGCCATGGATTCTTGTCCTGGTGTAACTGTTTTCCCTTAAATCATGCTCTGCACTGTGTCTGCTCTAGGCATTCTTCCGACTATAAGCTGCTTATTCCTTAATTCATGCTCTGTACTGTGTCTACTCTAGGCATTCCTCTGATTATGAACTAAAATACAGTTTTATATATATATGGAAATAACTGAGTGGTAACACTATAAACTGAGATATTCTCCAGATCTTTTTTCTTTTCTTTTTTTTTAATTTTTGTTTTAAAAAGATGGGGTTTCACCACGTTGGTCAGGCTGGTCTTGAACTCCCGACCTCAGGTGATCTGCCCACCTTGGCCTCCAAAGTGCTGGGATTACAGGCTTGAGCCACCACGCCCGGCCAATATTCTCCAGATTTTTTTTTTTTTTTTTTTTTTTGAGGCAGAGTTTCGCTCTTGTTACCCAGGCTGGAGTGCAATGGCGCGATCTCGGCTCACCGCAACCTCCGCCTCCTGGGCTCAGGCAATTCTCCTGCCTCAGCCTCCTGAGTAGCTGGGATTACAGGCACGTGCCACCATGCCCAGCTAATTTTTTGCACTTTTAGTAGAGACGGGGTTTCACCATGTTGACCAGGATGATCTCGATCTCTCGACCTTGTGATCCACCCGCCTCGGCCTCCCAAAGTGCTGGGGTTACAGGCTTGAGCCACCGCGCCCGGCCCCTATTCTCCAGATCTTAATTGTGCCAGGATTCTGCTTAGCTCTCCTTCCCCGGTGCCTATATTGGGGATTACCCACAACTTCCATTGCAGTCACAGGCTCACCCAGATTCAGAATAAGGGGACACAGAACCTCCCAATGAGAACCATCAGTGGCACATTCTAAGGGGAACATGTGGGATGAGAGACGTTGAGGGCTCAGTATCCAAAAACATCACTTTAATCCTCTCTTCCCATTACTGACCAAAACAAATTCTGGCATTGAAGGCACTCTGCACTTAGGCCCCAGATGCCTTCCCTTCTTTACCTCCTGTATTATTTTCTCCATTCAGGCCAGACGGAACTACTCAGTCACCCAAACCTGTCAGACTCATTCTTCTTTTGCCCTTTTTCTCAACTAATCCCTCTTCTTTACACCCTGAGGAATTCTCTCACTTAAAAGTTACCGTTCACTGCTGGGCGCAGTGGCTCACACCTGTAACCCCAGCACTTTGGGAGGCCAAAGTGCGTGGATCACCTGAGATTCAGGAGTTCAAGACCAAACATAAGCCGGGTGTGGTGGTGGGCACCTGTGATCCCAGCTACTCGGGAGGCTGAGGCAGGAGAATCACTTGAACCAGGAAGGCGGAGGTTGCAGCGAGCCAAGATTGTGCCACTGCACTCCAGCCTGGGTAACAAAGCCAGACTCAATCTCAATAATAATAATAATAATAATAATAATAATGTTACTGTTCGCTGAATTGTGCAGAATGAACTAAGGTGGCAGGCAGGGGCCCTCAGAGATGCCATAGTTACACCACCTGAGGAAGCTTTCAGAGCACCACCTGCACGTGGCTCTGCCACCTTGCCTTGGCTCACTTCCCTGTGTGCTTGGAAAGCAGAGAAGATAGAAAATGCAGCTTACTTCTAAGCTATCTCCTTTTCAAAGCCCAGATCCCCCAACAATTTTGCACCCAACATGAAGAGGACAGATTCTGCCCAAAGGGCTGCTTTCTGGGAGAGGTTGTGAGCAGATGACTTCATACGAACCCAGACCTACTCAACCTTCTAGCCTGAAAAAACCTAAACATGAATAGTAGATAGTTTATGTAGGGACAGAGGCTGAATGAGCAAAAGGGTGGAGTGACGGATAATGAACACATAAACAACCATGTAAGAAGATAAAATGCTGCGAGTATATGCTGATGGTAGGGTACTGCTTTAACTATGCTGGTCAGAGAAATCCTTTCTGACTGGTGAAAAGCAGAGAGAGACCAAGGTGAAAATTCTCCCCAAAGTGTGAACCTGATTATAATTTTTCTAAATTTAATTTTTAGAGCCAGAGTCTTTATCTCTCACCCAGGCTGGAGAGCAGGTGCAATCATACCTCAAGCCAGCCTCCTGCCTCAGCCTCCCAAAGCGGTAGAATTACAGGTGTGAGTCACCGTGCTGACCCTCATCATCATTTTTTTTTTCTTTTTCTTTCTTTTTTTTTTTTTTTTGAGACGGAGTTTCGCTCTTGTTACCGAGGCTGGAGTGCAATGGCGCGATCTCGGCTCACCGCAACCTCCGCCTCCTGGGTTCAGGCAATTCTCCTGCCTCAGTCTCCTGAGTAGCTGGGATTACAGGCACGCGCCACCACGCCCAGCTAATGTTTTTTTTTTTTTTTTTGTATTTTTAGTAGAGACGGGGTTTCACCATGTTGACCAAGATGGTCTCGATCTCTTGACCTCGTGATCCACCCGCCTCGGCCTCCCAAAGTGCTGGGATTACAGGCGTGAGCCCCCGCGCCCGGTCCATTTTTTTTTTTTTTTCTTTTGAGACGGAGTCTCACTCTTTTCTCCAGCCCAGGCTGGAGTAAAGTGGCCTACTCTCAGCTCACTGCAACCTCCATCTCCCGAATTCAAGCGATTCTTGTGCCTCAGCCTCCTGAGTAGCTCGGATTACAGGCGCCTGCCACCACGCCCAGCTAATTTTTGTATTTTTAGTAGAGAGGGGTTTCATCATATTGACCAGACTGGTCTCGAACTCCCGACCTAAGGTGATCCACCAACCTTGGCCTCCCAAAGCGCTGGGATTACAGGCGTGAGCCACCCCGCCCAGCCTTCCTCATCATAATTTGTATGTCCAAAAATGTATGCATCAGCAGGAATAGCGGAAGCCAGAATGAAAAAGGGAGATGACGAGACGGGTAAAGTCTGATGTGGTTGGAACCATTCTGGGAAACAGGACAGGAATGACGGCGATTGAGAGAGGCAGGTCCACACTCTGTGTTGTCCTGGGTCTGAACAGTCAAGAGAAAGTGAAAGGAGGAGGAAATTAGCTCTACAGCAGTTCCACCGCGCTTGGCCACGGTCTTCGTGCCCTCCTCACCGTGGCACAGCAACCCCTCCACGCGCTGAGGACTCCAGCACTCCAGCGCCCCCGCGCCCCCGACCCCCGCGCCCCCGATGCCCGCGCCCCCGACCCCCGCACCCCCGCGCCCCCGACCCCCGATCCCCCGCGCCCCGGACCCCCGCACCCCCGACCCCCGCGCCCCCGATCCCCCGCGCCCCCGCGCCCCCGACCCCCGCGCCCCCGACCCCCGCGCCCCCGCACCCCCGCGCCCCCGCACCCCCGACCCCCGCGCCCCCGCGCCCCCGACCCCCGCACCCCCGCGCCCCAGCTCCCACGAGGGCCGAGGGCGCTGGCCCCGCCCCGCAAGCAGGACTTCCGCGTCCTCCCCGGAGGGTCTGCGCATGCGCGGGGGCCATATTCGCAGCGGCTACTCAGAGGCGCTGGTGATTTTCCCCCGCGGAGTTCAGGGCTCCGTGGCCGTCCCAAGTCTTCAGGGTCTTCCCTCCGGTGAGCCTTCGCCCCCCGGGGGCCCGCAGACGCTTGGCCGCTCGCTCCTCGGGCCGGGCTCGTGAAGGGCGAGCCAGTCGGTCTCGGCCGCAGCCGCCGCCGAGAGCCCCGGGCGCGATGACTCTGCGCCGCCTCCTCGGTGACGGACCGGCCGCCGGGATTGGCCCTCGCCGGCCGCCGTCGGGGGCTTCGCGGGGCCCGGCGAGGGGTCGGGGCGGCGGGGGGCGTGGGGGGGTCGGGGCGGCCGCGGTCCCCGGGAGTTCCTGCGAGTCCGCGCCCGCGGTGCCGGCGTCCGGCGTGGAGGCCGAGAGCCGCGCCTGCGCTCGGACCCGACCCCGCCGGCGCGCGCCCGCGCCCTGCCTGCGCCTTCCCGGGGCCGCCGTCCCGGCCGGCTCGCTGCCCTCGCTGCCCTCGCTGCCCTCGCTGCCCTCGCTGCCCTCGGCCGCACCAGCCCGGGCGATCCTCGGGAATCCCAGAGGAGCCCTCGGCTGAGAGACGGCGCCCCGGTTTCCACGTGGGCGCGCGGGCTCTCCGGGGTTTGACGCCGGCTCGCCTTTCCGGGCCCCGTCCCCGTGTTCCCGGAGTCGGGAACGTGGGCTTCGGACTGGGGCCTTTCCGCCGAACAGCGCCGCACGCCCGGTGGTGTCTTTTGCACGAGTCGTGCCCGTGCTGCCCAGATGACCGCCTTCAGCCCCAAGTGCGGGACCCAGATCCCTCTGGAGAAGGCCTGAGCCTCTTCACTTGGCATTCAAGGCTCCGCGTGATTCGGAGACTCGCTTAGTTCTTATTTGTATATATTTTCAAAGATCAGCCGTTTGTCTCATGCCCACTAAGTCATCCTGCCTCAGTACCCTTTGTCATACTTTCTGGAATGCCCTTCCCCTCTTTCTCCCCGCCTCCCCCCCCCCGTTCTTTCTCTTAGACCCGAGGGTTCTTGGCCTTTTTTCTGCCTCTCCTGTCTCTTGATTTACTTTCATTTTCTGTAGCGGTTTCTCAGAAAATGCTTTCTTGATTTTTCTTCATCCCTTTTCCCACCCTGCCCTCGGTTCCTCTTTCCACATTATAAGCTATGTCTGCCTCTGTCACCTAACTGCCAGTGTTAGCTTTTCAGGACAAGAATTGGTTTTACACATTTTGGTATTCCAGCATCTAGCATAATGCCTGACACTTAGCTGAAGAAAGGGAGTAAATAAAACAGATTTGTAAAGTCAGCAAACGCTTTTTAATTTGTGAATCTTATTTTAATGATGATCCGATTTGCTTTTTTACAGGAACTAGATAAAGTTCAGAAAACATGGTGAGTTAATACCAACAAACGGTTGTCTGATAAATAGTATTGTGTGCAGCCTACAGCCTTGTGTGGGAAAATTGAAACGGAAGGAGAGCCGTGGGATGGGCCTTCTTTCTTGTCAGTTTCTCACCCATTGAACTCTGTTTGCCAGGAGAGGTTCTGTAGGATGATTTGTAGGCTTGCAGGAGCTTTCTTACTTTCAGTGGGTAGGAATCACTTTTGTGTTTTTCCTTTGCAGTCTCGAAGATATGACTCCAGGACCACTATATTTTCTCCAGAAGGTAAAATAGAAATTGTTTAATCTGCCTCAAGTTAAAAAAAAACAAAAACAAAAAAACGTGTTAGACTTTTAGGAAAACAATGTACAAACTTTTTGTAGTTGCAAAGTTCTTTCCTTTTGTTGTTTGAAGCAATTATGGTCACCAGATTGATTATACCCTAGAGGAGTAAAAGCGGGACTTTTGTTTCTAGCTTGCTTCATTGCAGATTTCTTTTGGGCCAGTGAAGTCTTGGCTTCTCACTGCTTTTGTTTTATAGGTCGCTTGTACCAAGTCGAATATGCCATGGAAGCGATTGGACATGCAGGCACCTGTTTGGGAATTTTAGCAAATGATGGTGTTTTGCTTGCAGCAGAGAGACGCAACATCCACAAGCTTCTTGATGAAGTCTTTTTTTCTGAAAAAATTTATAAACTCAATGAGTAAGTTAGATTTTAGGAAAGAGTTTTAAAAAATATCTCACTTCCTCACATAAGTGGGAGCTATGTAATTTGGGAGGGCTCTTCCGTGTGATATGGTAGAATTGAAGTTGTGCCTTTATTTTGCTTGAAACCTCTTTGAGGCCTGGTACCAGGTGTTATTCCTTTTAAGTGCAGAGCAAACACTTAATGGAGAAGCCAGCATTGTGTAATGATAAGGGTACAGACTTAGTCACAGAGATTTGGGTTCAAGTCCAGGCTTCACCCATACAGGCTATGTGACCTTGCACCAATTATTTAATTTCTTTTCTTTTTTTTTTTTAAGGCGTGGTTTTACCGTATTGGTCAGGCTAGTCTTGAACTCCGACCTCAGGTGGTCCGCCCACCTTGGTCTCCAAAGTGCTTGGATTATAGTCGTAAGACACCACGCCCAGCCCAATTTAATTTCTTTGGGTCCCAGAGCCTCCTAAAGTGGTTGTGGCAGTTTAATGAAATAAAATGAATGAAATACAATAGTATAGTGTTTGGCATGTAGTAGGTCCTCAAAATATTGTTTAGAATAGCTACGCAGAGGCCAGGCATGGTGGCTCATGCCTGTAATCCAAGCACTTTGGAGGCCAAGGCGGGTGGATCACCTGAGGTCAGGAGTTCAAGACCAGCCTGACCAACATGGTGAAACCCCGTCTTAAAAAAAAAAAAAAAAAAAAAAAGGAAATAAACACCTCTAAAAGGAGCATAGCCCTGTGCTTCCTAGGCAGGCTTTAAACCCTCCTGTCATTGTCCCCTGTTAACCTCTGTCCAGCCAGACCTTAGGAAATGAATACTAATCAAGAGCAGTCTGTCTGTCTAGCAAAATCTTTTTTTTAACCCCGAGACAGATTCTTGCTCTGTCACCCAGGGTGGAGTATGGCGATGCCATCTTGGCTCACTGCAACCTCTACCTCCCGGGCTCAAGTGATCCTCCCACCTCAGCCTCCCAAGTAGCTGGGACTATAGGTGTGCACCGCCACACCCAGTTTTTTATTTTTTGTTAAAATGGGATTTTGCCATGTTGCCCAGGCTGTTCTTGAACTCCTGGGCACAAGCTCTCTGTCTACCTCGGCCTCCCAAAGTGCTGGGATGACAGCTGTGAGCCATTGTGGCCGGCCTGTCTTTTTATTCTTTGTTGCTACATCTTGAGATTTACTTTAGCTTCTTGGCGCTGATTCTCTTACCCTATTCATAGGGTGGTAATGATCAGTACATCGATTAAAGAACTTAAGGGCACATTGGTTAGTCTTCATGTTGAATGACATCAAGTAAATGTCTCTTACAAAAATAAAACTTCCGTAGGATTTTTCTGAAGTAGCTGCTGTGAAGCAAGTGGAGTAAATATTTAATAGAACTCTGTGCGTTAATACTTGCAGGCCCCTCACAAATGTCTTGCCTGCTTACAGATCACTGTCTTTTTCTCTTTAAGGGATATGGCTTGCAGTGTGGCAGGCATAACTTCTGATGCTAATGTTCTGACTAACGAACTAAGGCTCATTGCTCAAAGGTATGGTCATAAATAGCATAAATGATAAATCAGTTTTGACGTTTCTATGGAGAGCTCACTTTTGCAAAGAGTAAAATCATTAAAAATATTTTAATTGAAAATTACAGAATTTTTTTTTAAACCAAACTTAACAAAATGTTATTTACTATGAGAATATTCGGATGTTAGGTTGTCCCTATGGCATAGATTGCTTTTCAGAGAGTATTTACCTTAGAGTCTGTCTGTGTTTTAGAGAAAACTAATGCGCTGATCTCTTTATCCTAGGTATTTATTACAGTATCAGGAGCCAATACCTTGTGAACAATTGGTTACAGCACTGTGTGACATCAAACAAGCTTATACACAATTTGGAGGTACTTAATTTTTTTGAAAATTTTATTCCAAAAAGTTAAGTCATTTTATGACTTACAACATTTTTGAGGTAGTAAAAAATTGAAAAATAGATCCTTTTGTTTTAAATTAAATTTTTTAAATTGGCAAATAATAGTTGTATGTATTCATAGGGTACATCATGTTTCGGTACATACAATGATCAGATCAGGATAATTGGCACATTCATCGTCTCAAACACTTCGCTGTGTTGGGAGCCTTCCATATCCTTCTAGCTATTCGAAACTAACGTGTTACAGTTAACTATATTAATCTTACAGTGGTGTAGAACACTAGAAATCCCTACATTCTTATTTCATGAGTGAACCTGTTTCCTCCACCGTGTAAATTACCATAGTTTTATTAATAGGATATGTAAAGTCCGAGATAACATTTTCAAATCTGGACGCTAACTGCTGTTTACATAATAATGAAATTCAGCCCTGGTCCTCTGTCTATTCCGGGCGTCCCCCAACTATGGCCCCCTGAGGCCATTTATCCGGCCCCCTGCCGCACTTCAGGAAGGGGCACCTCTTTCATTGGTGGTCCGTGAGAGGAGCACAGGATGTGGCGGCCCTCCACCTGTCTGAGGGACAGTGAACTGGCCCCCTGTGTAAAAAGTTTGGGGACGCCTGGTCTATTCCCTCTCCTGGCTGTGTCCAAATCATAGAAACAGACGTGGAATTTGTCATAGAGCTTATCTATGGTAGCCAGAATACAAAACAGTTTATGAACGCTTAAGTTCACAGAGAAGGGTTTAGCTACACTCACTGAGCTCAAGTAACTATAGTGATACTAAATTTAGATTATTGATATATTTGGTTTTTTTTCTTTGTTAAAGGCAAACGTCCCTTTGGTGTTTCATTGCTCTACATTGGCTGGGATAAGCACTATGGCTTTCAGCTCTATCAGAGTGACCCCAGTGGAAATTACGGTGGATGGAAGGCCACGTGCATTGGAAATAATAGTGCTGTGAGTATTTTTGTTGTGCTATAAAATCTAGCAGAAGGTCTCATAACTGCCGTAATTTTGCAGTGGTGATGAACGTACACAATATTTTACAATAGCTGCAACAATCTTAATGTGATATGGAAATATTTGTGATTTCTGTTGGTGACAGAATTGCTGGTATAGCTAATATATTGGGGTTTGTTAACTACATTAATAATTAAATGCCAATTTTCAATTAAGAGTTGTAAAATTAGAAGTTGTAATTTTGTTTCACAACCTAGTTTACAGATCCCCTGAATTCTATGACAGACCCCTTGGGAGACTGAGGTACTTTATAGAGCATCAGTACCCACTCCTCTCACCTCGTGCCATGTGTGCCTTGCCTGTCATCAAAATTCTTTATATGGGCCAGGCATGGTGGCTCATGCCTGTAATCCCAACACTTTAGGAGGCTGAGGCAGGTACATCACTTGAGCTCAGGAGTTTGAGACCAGCCTGGGCAACATGGCAAAACACCATCTCTACAAAAAATACAAAACTTAGCTGGGTGCGGTGGCATGTGCCTGTAATCCTAGCTACCTGGGAGGCCAAGGTGGGAGGAGGATCACCTGAGCCTGGGGAGGCTGAGGATACAGTGAGCTGAGATCACACCACTGCACTCCAGCCTGGGCAACAGAGTGAGCCCCTGTGTCTTTTAAAAAAAAAAAAAATGTTGATACTTGTAATGCCAGTCATAATTGAGGCTGCTTACGGTGGCTTCCGCCTGTAATCCCAGCACTTTGGGAGGTCAAGGCAGGCGGATCACTTGAGGTCAGGAGTTCGAGGCCAGCCTGACCAACACAGAGAAACCCCGTCTCTACTAAAGATACAAAATTAGCTGGATGTGGTAGTACATGCCTGTAATCCCAGCTACTGGGGAAGCTGAGGCAGGAGAAATGCTTGAACCTGGGAGGCGTAGGTTGCAGTGAGCCAAGATTACGCTATTGCACTCCAGCCTGGGCACCAAGAGCGAAACTCCATCTCAAATAATGATCATTATAATAATTATTTAGGCATTTTTCTTGTAGACCAATCCATGTTTCTAAAAAAATGTAAAAACTTAAACTTCTGTGTTGATTCGTGTTTTATAGGCGGCTGTGTCAATGTTGAAACAAGACTACAAAGAAGGAGAAATGACGTTGAAGTCAGCACTGGCTTTAGCTATCAAAGTGCTAAATAAGACCATGGATGTTAGTAAACTGTCTGCTGAGAAAGGTAACTCATGTTCTCTCCTTTACTTCGTTAGACCGAGTAGGTTAGGTTTTAATGTGTTATACTAGTTCATTGAAACAGCAGGCTTGTGAATTAGGTGATGTTATCCCTGTCTTCTGAGGACACTAGGGCTTACTGAGGGTAAGTGGGTTGACCAAGGTCAGCATTGGTGAATTGTGGACATACTATTCTCAGTACTCACAGATAGAGATCCTGTACCGTGCTATGTTTAGTTAACAGTTATCAAATCTTCTCATCAATGATATCTTTGCTTGTGTGTATGTGTGATAAAACATAGCACGTATTTATATATTTGTACATAGGTTTGGTTTTCTTTACCAGAGATAAAACTTTTACATGGGTTGTGATAGCCTCTCCTATTGTTTCGAATCTACTAATCACTTATTTTATGTTAGCAATTCCAGATACTTTGTTCAATTTAAGCTATATGACTATATAAAAGAATATTTCAGGCCAGGTGTGGTGGCTCACGCCTATAATCCCAGCACTTTGGGAGGCCGAGGCAGGCAGATCACCTGAGGTTGGGAGTTCAAGACAGCCTGACCAACGTGGAGAAACACTGTCTGTACTAAAAGTACAAAAAATTAGCTGGGCGTGGTGGTGCATGCCTGTAATCCCAGCCAGTTGGGAGGCTGAACCCAAAAGGCAGAGGTTGCAGTGAGCTAAGACAAGACCTGCAACATTGCACTCCAGCCCGAGCAACAAAAGCGAAACTCTGTTTCAAAAAAAGAATATTTCAACTGGGCGTGGTGGTGGCTCAGGCCTGTAACTCCAACACTTTGGGAGGCCAAGGTAGGCGGATCACCTGAGGCCAGGAGTTCAAGACCAGCCTGGCCAACATGGTGAAGCCCTGGCTCTACTTTTAAAATACAAAAATTAGCCTGGCGTGGTGGTGCACACCTGTAATCCCAGCTACTCGGGAGGCTGAGGCAGGAGAATCATTTGAACTGGGAGGTGGAGGTGGAGGCTACAGTGAGTTAAGATTGCACCACTGCACTCCAGCCTGGGTTACAGAGACTCCGTCTCAAATTTCTAAATGTTTTTAAGAAACTGGTAAATTAACATGTCGCTTTAGATTAGGACAGTTTAGCTCCTGGTGTTCTTTAGAAAATGCCACTTATGGCCAGGCATGGTGGCTCACACCTGTAACCCCAGAACTTTGAGAGATCAAGGAGGGTGGATTACCTGAGGTCAGGAGTTTGAGACCAACCTGGCCAACATGGTGAAACCTCTTCTCTACTAAAAATGCAAAAAATTAGCCACGCATGGTGGTTTGCACCTGTAACCCCAGCTATTCGGAAGGCTGAGGCAGGAGAATTGCTTGAACCTGGGAGGCACAGGTTGGGGTGAGCCAAGATTGTGCCATTGCACTCCAGCTTGGGTAACAAGAGCAAAACACAGTCTCAACAAAAAAAAAGAAAAAAAAATGCCATTTACATGCAGATTGCCCTCTGTTGTCTTCTTCCACCCAATTTCAAGGAGACACGACTCAATTTCCCTGGTACAAAACAAAATTCCTTCCCCTTAGTATTAGTCTGCTTTTCTTGGCCATTTCATGCCTTTTTTTGTTTTGTTTTTGAAACAGAGTCTCATTCTGTCACCCAGGCTGGAGTGCAGTGGCATGATCTCAGTTCACTGCAATCTCCGCCTCCCGGTTTCAAGTGATTCTCCTGCCTCAGCCTCCTGGGTAGCTGGGACTCCAGGTGCCTGCTGCCATGCCTGGCTAATTTTTTGTATTTTTTTTTTTTTTTAAGACGGAGTTTCGCTCTTGTTACTCAGGCTGGAGTGCAATGGCGCGATCTCGGCTCACCGCAACCTCCGCCTCCTGGGTTCAGGCAATTCTCCTGCCTCAGCCTCCAGAGTAGCTGGGATTACAGGCATGCGCCACCATGCCCAGCTAATTTTTTGCACCTTTAGTAGATACGGGGTTTCACCATGTTGACCAGGATGGTCTCGATCTCTTGACCTCGTGATCCACCCGCCTCGGCCTCCCAAAGTGCTGGGATTACAGGCTTGAGCCACCACGCCCGGCATTTTTTGTATTTTTAGTGGAGATGGGGTTTCACCATGTTAGCCGGGATGGTCTCAATCTCCTGACCTCATGATCTGCCCGCCTCAGCCTCCCAAAGTGCTGGAATTACAATTGTGAGCCACTGCACCCAATTTTTTTTTTTTTTTAAAAAGACTTGCAAAGTCCATAAAAAATAATTGTTATTACCAGTTGAAGATTCTGACTGAAATTGTGGTTCTTTCTGATCAGCCCAGCTAAAAGTCGGCCAGCAATAGCAGTTGGTCAATCACACTTTTTCTAAGGGAGTGACGGAATGGCTGCTAAGAAAGTTGTAACGGGTGAGGTGAAGCTATTTCAGTAAAAATTGTAATTAAAACATTACAAGATCAAAGGTATTTTGTTCTCATAAAAGGGAGTAATAATATTAAGCATAAAACATAAGAGAGCGCTGAACTAAGGTTTCAATGATGTGATGAGCAGAAACCGCAAGTGCCTGTTAAGTTTCTCTGCTAAGTATGCCTGCCTGCCTGCAGTGCAAATAAACACGTGTTTGTTTTCAGTGGAAATTGCAACACTAACAAGAGAGAATGGAAAGACGGTAATCAGAGTTCTCAAACAGAAAGAAGTGGAACAGTTGATCAAAAAGCATGAGGAAGAAGAAGCTAAAGCCGAGCGTGAGAAGAAAGAAAAGGAACAGAAAGAAAAGGACAGATAGACCCCGTCAGGTTCGGTCACTCACTTGGGGCACCGTTTCAGTGTGAAAGCTGTCCTGCTCTTCCACACGAGGAGGCTTTGCCTTTCTCTAAACTGGTGCAGTGGGAAAACGGGACGTTACATGCTGAATCGGGTCCTCGTCATTTCTGTTCAGTCGAACACTTTACTGTCATTGATGAGGGTTACTTTCCGTGGACATCTGCATCTTCCACACACACCCCCTTTTTTGGAATAAAATTGGGAAAATGGAAATGAAGGAATAAATTCTCTGTAGCAGTAATTGTTAAATACACAAAACTGACAGGGCGAGCGTCTTCTTTTCAGGCTCTGTGCACACTGTGGCTTACACCCCTTTCACAAAGATGAGCACATTCGTCAGGCCGGCCAGGTCATTCATCTCTCTCCAGGGACTGGCTCGAGAATGAACACGTGGGCCGAGCAAAGCCAGGATTGATGTGTGGATATGAGGCTCTCGCAGCTCGGACCGAGGCTGCCCACCAAGCTGCGTGGAAGGTGAGGTGGAGGAGGAGTTAAGGCCACAGAGGAAAAGTGAAACCAAGAGATGAGAACAGTTACTGTTGGCTGAAGGGAGCTCCGTTGCTGGGCTTTGTTCAGCCTGAGTTCCCTTGGGTTCTGTGGCTTCGTGATAGAAGTGATGCAGGGCAGTGCTACTTAACGTGTAGCCGTGGTGCTTGAGCATCACCTTGTGTCCCATCCCAGATCGACTTCATTAATACCTCTGAGGGTGGAACCCAGTAATCTCTTTTAACAGGCTCTGCAGGTGATTCTTAGGAATGCTAAATAAAGCTTTCAGAAGTTTTTGTTACACAAAAACTTAGTTTAGAATCACCTAGCAAGCTTTTGCAACTTATAATGCCATATCAACTCAAGCTCTGTGGTGGAACCCAGATAGTAATGCTTCTTAAACTCTTCAAGTGATTTCCATCAGCCAGGATGAGAACCCACGCATGGAGCCATAGTTTACCCTTCTCTCAGCTGTTGTCAATCAAATATGGTAACCCAGCCTAACTCTTCATCGTAGATTTTCTTTTTTTTGAGACAGAGTTTCACTCTTGTTACCCAGGCTGGAGTGCAATGGCGCGATCTCAGCTCACCGCAACCTCCGCCTCCTAGGCTCAGACAATTCTCCTGCCTCAGCCTCCTGAGTAGCTGGGATTACAGGCACACACCACCACGCCCAGCTAGTTTTTTGTATTTTTAGTAGAGACGGGGTTTCACCATGTTAACCAGGTTGGTTTCGATCTCTCGACCTTGTGATCCACCCGCCTTGGCCTCCCAAAGTGCTGGGATTACAGGCTTGAGCCACCGCACCCGGCCTTCATTGTAGATTTTCTTAAAGAATGCAGCTTTCAGCTGGGCGCAGTGGCTCACGCCTGTAATCCCAGCACTTTGAGAGGCCAAGGCAGGCGGATCATGAGGTCAATAGATTGAGACCATCCTGGCTGTGGTGAAACCCCGTCTCTACTAAAAATTAAAAAATTAGCTGGGCATGGTGGCGCGCACCTGTGGTCCCAGCTACTCGGTAGGCAGAGGCAGGAGAATCGCTTGAACCCAGGAGGTGGAGGTTGCAATGAGCCGACATTGTGCCACTGCATTCCAGCCTTGTGACAGAGCAAGACTCCGTCTAAAAAAAAAAAAATGCAGCTTCCTGCAGTTTTCTGTACAGGCTAAGGTATTTCCGAACCCTATTTGCAGCACTTTTTTTTTTTTTTTTTTTTTTTTTTTTTTTTTTTTTTTGAGACGGAGTTTCGTTCTTGTTACCCAGGCTGGAGTGCAATGGCACGATCTCGGCTCACCGCAACCTCCTGCCTCCTGGGTTCAAGCAATTCTCCTGCCTCAGCCTCCTGAGTAGCTGGGATTACAGGCACGCACCACCATGCCCAGCTAATGTTTTGTATTTTTAGTAGAGACGGGGTTTCACCATTTTGACCAGGATGGTCTCGATCTCTCGACCTTGTGATCCACCCACCTCGGCCTCCCAAAGTGCTGGGATTACAGGCTTGAGCCACCGCGCCCGGCTGCAGCACTTTTTTTTAACTTCTAAATTGCTCTTTTACTCTGTACAGCCGGTTCTCATTATTTTTGGTAGTTATGTTCTAAATAGTCACCACAAAAATTAAATTAGCAAATACTGAACTTGCTGCCTAGGGGACATATTGGGTTAGGGTCCTAAAAGCCACTGGTCACATTTTTGTCAGCGGATCAGTACGTAACCTGTTTTTTGTGTGCTACTACTTAAAGACCCCTTATTTAATATATGTAATGTATATTGCGGATTCATTAACATAGAAGTCAGCCAACAGCTCTTTACCTGAATTTTTGTTTTGGTTTTTGAGACGGTCTTGCTCCGTCACCCAGGCTGGAGTGCCGTGGTGTGATCATAGTTCACTGCAGGCTCAATTTTCCTGCCTTGACCTCCCAAAGTGCTGGTATCACAGCCCTCTTATGCTTAGGAACAATACTAAAGAGTATTTTTTTTTGTAGAGATGGCGAGCAGGGAAGGGTCTCTATGTTTCCCATGCTGGTCTCGAACTCCCAGACTCAAGCGATCCTCCTGCCTCAACCTCCCACAGTGCTGACATCACAGCCCTCTTGTGCTTAGGAACGTTAAACAGCACTTCAGCGCTACACCTGGGTGCCATTTTAAATGGTAAAATCACTAAGAAAAATGCGAAAATAAATGGCCCAAGACAGACTGCAAGAAGATGTTCATGGTGTGAGGGCTGAAACTGCAGAGTGTCACTTTGTTCGACCTCAGCTGGGAACACGCGCCTCTGGGTACTCGAAATTTTCACCGCCTTGCATGTCAGCAAATGACTAAAAGTAGCACAAGTGCTGGTTTGGGGGTTCCATGTACATTTTACGAGAATGCAAATTATGCAAATTCACAAGTACAGAATCAGCAAGTAATGAAGATGAATGGCGCTCCGTCTCCGGAACGTACCCAGAACCCAGCCACCGCTGCAGGAACGCTGCTCCAATTCCCCGTTCTCTCTCGCTTGGCCCACTGAGGCAGCCTCCTAAATGGTCTCCTTGCTTCCTCTTCATTTCCCGCTGTCAATTCTCCAGCAGCAGCCACAGTGATCTTTCAAACTGTAAAACTGCTACTGCGCAGTCTCTGCTCAGAACTCTCCGATGGCTTCCCATCTTGCTCAGTAAAGGTCAAATTATTTGCATTGGTTCATGAGGCACCCCACATTCTGCTCCCCTGCTACCTTTTCTACCATGTGCTTCCTTCCTCACTCATTCCCTGACTGCGCCAAGCCCCCCTGGCATCACTTGCTAATGCTTCTGCCTTGGGAATGCTCTTCCTGGGTATCTATCGCCCACTGCCTCATCTCCAGGTCTCTGCTTGCATGTCACCTTTTTTTGGGCTACTTCTGCGAAGGAGCAATCTCTTTCCCCTGCACACTCACATTTTCTGCTCCCTGTACCCTGCTGAGTGTTTCTCCATAGCACCCATCACTGGCTGGCATATTTGTTTACCGTCTGTCTCTCCATCTGGAATAGAAGCTTCCAGGGCAGTGCTCTGTTTTTATTCATTAGCTGTGTCTCAGCTCCTAAAACAGAAACTGGACTTGTTAGGCAACAAGTAAATACTGACGAATGAATAAATACTCTGGATATGCTGGTGTGAAATCCTAAAAAATACCCACTGTCCATCCAGATCAATGGCGCTGGTGGATTTTCTGTACCCTGACCACCTCTGCAACACTTGCCCCAAGCTAGGACAACTTCTTCAAAGGCAACAGTGGATAAGAGAGCCCAGTATATTTTGCCGCCACATTAGGAAAGTCTTCAGAATTTTCCTCTAACGGGCAAATTGCAACGTATTCATTCTTTTGTTGAAATAAATTCATACTGTGGGGAAAAGCAAAAGAGAGGAGGTGAGGCAAAGCCTACTCTATAACTGTGTTTTTTCCCTGCTACAGGGTTTGGCTGCCTACTCCAGATTCTCACACAGCCCCACTTTCCTCTGCTCTGTGCCGTATTTTTAACCCGAGTTGCAGGGCTGTTTGGTTTCCAGAGAGTTGCGTGATGCATCCCAAATATTGCCTTAGCAATGCTCATCTGAACAGGGGCTCTTCACTAACAGCGAGCATTTCATCCATCTGGGCGAAACTCGTGGGTTTTCACAGGGACCCTACCAGCTCAGAAGCACCTTGATATAAATAAGTAGAAAACCGAAGACAGCCAAGTTTTAAATCTTGAGTCAAAACTTTAAAATCAAAGTCAAGTTGATTTCATTTTGGCAAGCTTTCAAATCTTGCTTTTAAAAATAAACCATGTTAAAAAAAAATTATGTACTGTGTTTAATTTCTGGTGTTTTTCTTAATCAGAAAATTAAGGAAGACTCCAGAATTTTTACAGTCTAGCACTTCGAAATTTTCATGAGAGTGTTTGTTTCAGCAGTGCAAAAAGATTCCATACTCTGAAAAACAAAACCAGAAAGTCGATTCATTCCTTTATTGGACACTTACCATGGTCCTGATAATTTTAGGTGATGGGGATATGTGGATGAGTAAGACACGTCCTCATTTCTTAACTTGAAGCCTTGCGGGAAAAGCAGGGCTATCAACCACTGAACACTGGAGGAGTGCCAGACTCCAGGTAGCTGGGTGCTGAAGGCTGGGGAGGAAAGGCAGAAGGAACTGCACGTGCAAAGGCTTGGCAGTGGGAAAGCTTCGCTGTCGCTGAGCAGAGCTAGAGAATAACGTGCTGGCGCAGTAAGAGATGAGGTTGGAAATGTACGTAGGGTGAGAAGACAGCTTTGCAGGTCTTGAGGTTTGTGTTCTATGCAATGCAGAGGCAGCTGAGATTTTTAGTAAATAAAAAAACCCGGGCACGGTGGCTCACGCCTGTCATCCCAGCACTTTGGGAGGCCAAGGCGGGTGGATCACGAGGTCAAGAGATCGAGACCATCCTGGTCAACACGGTGAAACCCCGTCTCTACTAAAAATACAAAAATTAGCTGGGCATGGTGGCACGTGCCTGTAATCCCAGCTACTCAGGAGGCTGAGGCAGGAGAATTACCTGAACCCAGGAGGTGGAGGTTGTGGTGAGCCGAGATCGCGCCATTGCACTCCAGCCTGGGAAACAAGAGTGAAACTCCGTCTCAAAAAGAAAAAAGAAAAACAATTACTCTGATTCATTTAGAACAATGACTCTGGGCGCCCAGAAGACGGACTAGGTGGGAAGAGACAGAGGCAGGGAGGTGAGTTAGGAGGCTGCTGAACTAGGCG